CATCACCATGTACATATGTACATGTGTATGCACGCATGTGCATACATGTTGTATATCTCTGTGTGTCTAAATGTGTGTGTGTGTACATGTGTGGGTGTGGGTATGGTACATGCCTTTACAGTGCTCACTATGAAGCTGGCACAAGTGAGGATGGCTAAATATCCTTTCATTTTTGGGGGTTCAAAATTTCTTATACCTTCTAGAAGCTACATTACATCACAGAAGCACATATCAGGATTGTGTGTGTGTGTGTGTGTGTGTGTGTGTGTGTGTGTGTGTGTGTGCTGGTTCCAGGGCTTGAACTCAGGGCTTGGGCACTATCCCTGAGCTTCTTTTTGCTCAAAGCTAGCATTCTACCACTTGGGCTATGGTACCACCTCTGGCTTTTTCTGAGTGGTTTATTGTGATAAGTCTCACAGATTTTTCTCCCAGGCTGGCTTTGAACCATGATCCTCAGATCTCAGCTTCCTGACTAGCGAGGATTACAGAAGTAAGCCACCAGCTCCCAGCCACATCTTAGGTTTTTAAACCTGAAGCAACTGTCATGTTGCCACATACTATTTGGTGTGGCAGGAAGGAATTTATATATTTTTTTAAACTCTGCCAATGGGCTTCACAAAGTACCAGATCCAGGAGAACGAACAGCCCTTGCAGCTAGACACCCCGAGTCCTTGGCATTTTTGCATGTGTTGTAACAGGCCAACAGATATTCTGGCTAAAACCCCAGCTTCGAGCCAAGATTACATGGTAAACAAACAAGAATTAGTTCATTTGAACTTTAATGAGTATGCTTTTCCACTGGAACAAGCTAAAGCACAAATACTTTTTTATTATCTCTCATCTCAGCTGGGTCCTGAGAGTGAAGTCTGCCCACAGCCTATGGTCAGGAAAGGGCAACCTTTTGGGGAATCAAATGAGTACAACCTTGCTCAGCCAGAGATGCATGTGGAGACATGGAGACACGGCCAAACACAAAGCAAAAGCCACCAAAGGGGGAATGGGGCTGCCAGGGCATGCTCCTTTACAGTGCTCATTATGAAGCTGGCACAGGGCTAACCCCTAGGAGCCTGAAAAGCCTCAGGGACCATGAAAGGCCAAGCCAGGAACCCCTCTGAGGCCAGTGTGGACCGACCCCCCCCAGCCATATTCCAGATCCCTGACTGGAGGGAAACGAAGGCTCTGCGTTTTACATAGGGGAAGGATACTTGTGCAAAGGAGGAAGTGGGGAGGAGAACTTCAACCTGAGGCTGAAATGAAAAACTATAGGGCTGGGAAGGTGGCTCAGTGGTAGAGTGCTTGCCTAGCATGCATGATGCCTTAGGTCTGATTCCTCAGTACCACATGAACAGAAAAAGCCAGAAGTGGTGCTGTGGCTCAAGTGGTAGAGTGCTAGCTTTGAGCCAAAGGAGATCAGGGACTAGTGCCCAAGCCCTGAGTTCAAGTCCCAAGATTGGCAAAAAATAAAAAAATTAAAACTGTAGATGAACCGGGTACTAATGGCTCACGCCTGTCATCTTAGCTACTCAGAATCTGAGAATTGCCATTCAAAACCTGCTCAGGCAGACAAATCTGAAAGACTTTTATCTCCCATCAACCACTGAAAAGCTGGAAGTGGTGCTGTAGCTCAAGTGATAGAGTGTCAGCCTTGAGCAAAAAAGCTAAGCGATAGTACCCAAGTCCTGAGTTCAAGAGCAGGTGCCAGCAAAAAAAAAAAATGTTTAAGCCAACCTCACAAAGCAAATCAAATAGTGCTAGTAGGGCTAATAGGGCTAAATTTCTCTGGAAGAAGTGCTAAACAAACAAACAAAAAACTCTTCATGTAGTCTAGCTGTGTGGCTGGCGTGTCTTCGGGTTTGGGTCAAGTGAAACATAGCTAAGCTGTAGGAAGAGAGTCCAGGTGTGTTTACAAGTGGGGAAGGTGGGTGAGTTTCCTTCTGGTCTGGATGAGCTGTGCACCAGCCCTGCAGCCTCCCAGGCAGCTCGTTCATTATCAACCCCTGGACGCCCCCTCCCACCCTCAGCAGATCAAGTTTCTCTAGTGAAGATGTTTTGCTGATGTTGGCTACCCCCCCCCCCCATGGTTCCTCTTATTTCCTACACAATCTGGGACAAAAAGCATCTGACACCCTGACACACTCAGGATGCCCTGGAAAGTCAGGAGAGAGACCCTGCAAATGGGTAGCAGGTACAGGGCAGCCTCCAGAGGGGTCTTTAGTAACCAGGGTGAGGTGTTTAGTCTACCGTGTTTTATGGAGAAAACAAGTAGCGAGGGGCATTTGGTGGCACATTTCTTCTAAAGGAGTCCTTCTTCAGCCCCCAGTTACTCAATCACCCCTTACCGATGACTCAAAGACTCTAAGCCCAGCACCAGTGGCTCACTTCCATAATCCTAGCATATCAAGAGACTGAGATCTGAGCATCACGATTCAAAGCCAGCCAGAGCAGGAAAGTCCATATGACTGTTATCTCCAATTGGCCATACACATATACACAAAAGCTTGAAGTAGAGCTTGAGTGGTAGAATGCTAGCCTTCAGCAAAAAAGCTCAGGGACAGTGCTCAGTCCCTGAGCTCAAGCCCCAGGACTGGCACAGAAAATAATAATAAAGAAGATGAAAAGAAACCAGCCAGGAGTCTGCAGAAAAGCAAATTCCACTGTCAAGACCATGGGTAATGAATTCCTGGCAGTGCCCCATAGAGTACAAGGAGCAGTGCCCCCAGCTGCCAGGCACCTGGCCTTAGAATGAGGACTCCTAAATAGGTAGGCTCTAGACAGGAGCCCCAAGAAGACTAAAGACCCCAGAAAAACCAACTCTTCACTCTTAGAGAAGACTCAAGGAGCGGTTGAGTCACAGGGGACAAGGGTTTTTCTTAGCTGCCTCCTTGTCCTTCCAGGATGGAAACGCAGGGAAACCAAAAGGAGAAAGAGAGAACTGAGTTCCCAAGGAACAACTAGAGAATGCTTGGCTGTTTCTAATGGGGAGGACAGAGAAATCTGACAAAAACAAAGCCAGATAAACCGGAAACACCAGCTTCAGGGTAACCCAACCGCCTTTTCCAGCTAGGATGCCGCTGGGCAAACTGGCCCCCTTTGGGAACCTCCCCAGAGGCTGACACACCTACAGGGTCGGTTTCTGGATAGCTTGGCATCAGGGACAACCCATACCTGACTGAAACCGCTGGTGGACCTCAGAATGGATGCTCCCCACCAAGACAGACCATAAAAAGCACTCCACAAGATGGGCTTCCACCCAGCATTCCCATTGGTGGAGAGAGGAAGAGATGTTTGGGTGCCCAAAGCAAGATCGAGATTTTTCTGGTGCTGTGAGTCAGGAGCTGAGGCTGGTGGCATGAGAGGGCAGGAAGGGGACAGGTGGGTGTCAGGTAGAAGAGAGCGGCTGGCCCTGAGCCGTTCCTGGGGCTATGGCTAGTACAGAGGGCATTGTGTTTTCCCAAGCCTACTTTCAAAAGTATGTGCCTATAAGTAGCAAAGCGGGCACTAAAGGAAAGGCAGGTGAGGCAAGGGAAAAGAAACCTCACCGGAGAGGAGCCAGAGCCCACAAGGCCAAAGGGCACTCACAGCAGCTGTGGCTTTTAGTATGGCACGGGGAAGCCCTCCGCCAGCCATTTTCTCACCCTCAGTTTTACCTCAGGACCAGAGGCAGCGGGATGACAGAGGCCGGGGTGGGGGCATAAGGGGGGGTATGTGAGCAGGTGGGGGCTGCCCCCGGGGTCCATCTTCTTGGTCTCCTCCTGCCCTTCACTGTCTGTAGGGGGCCTAACTTAGTAACAAAGTTTTGCTTAGGCTGGACTAATAGGTATTTTGGTAAACAGGAAAGAAAGAAAGAGAGAGAGAGAGAGGAAGGAAGGAAGGAAGGAAAAGAAAGAAAGAAAGAAAGAGAGAGAAAGGAAGGAAGGAAGGAAGAAAGGGAAAGAGAGAAAGCGAGGGAGGGAGGGAGGGAGAGAGGAAGGAAGGGAGGGAGGGAAGGAAGGAAGGGAGGAAGGAAGGACAGAAGGAAATGGAAGATTTGCTAATTCGAATTGTTTGATTTTTACAGAGTCCTTTGTATTAAAGTATTTGTTGGAGAAATTCTACCTTGATGCCCTTGCCAGGGACCTCCCCCTCTGTCTCTAACTCCAGAGGTCCTGAGCTTTCATCCACCCTCCCCAAGTCCAGGCCCTTGTCACTCCCAGAGGCTGGTATGGGCGATAGGCCTGGAACCTGCGGGACTATGCCAAAGAGGAATCAGCTGAGGTCTCCCACCACCCTCATTCCCCTTGCTCTTCAAAGCACAGCCTTTCCACCGAAGCTCGACAATCCGATGGGAGAAGGGGTTTCTACATTCCCTCTTGGGGAAAGAGGGCCTTCCCTGACCCCCTCCAACCCTGTGGTCCAGGGTCACCCTAGCCACAGGATGGCACTCGGCTCAGATATGTGGCTTCCTTGTGTCAGACTCCCTCAAAATTGGCCCGGAGTCCCCGGACTTGTGTCCACTCATGTGATCCCCCTCACCTCTCCTGAGCCCACTGCCCCGCCCCACGCAAAACCCCACCAGGACTGGGCAGCGCCTGGCCAGGGCACTGGGGCACAGGTGAAGGCTCATGAGATGGCCAAAGGCATGGAAGGATGGACGTGGGGAGGTGGCACATGACCCTCGACCACCACTGGGGCTTTGGAAGGACACAGACTGAGGGACAGGTACCCCAAGCAGGACAGGGACAAGAACGCCGTCCAAGGGCCAGGGCTCTGGGCTTTGGGAACGACTGAAGGGAGATCGTCAGCCCTTGGCCGGAGATGCTCGTGGCTGTGTCCCCGCAGTGAGCTCCGCGGCCTGGCTCATAGGGCCTGTGGCCCTAGAGCTTAGCGGCTGGGACATACTCGTGGGGGGGGGGGCGCAGACGCCCCAGCACCCCCTCGTGTGCCCGGCGCCCGGTGCCCCGCGCCCGGCCAGGGCGCGCTGGGCCGGGGCGCACGGACGCACGCGGACCGCGGACCTGTACCTCGGTTGGAGTGGCTCAGGGTGGATGACTGGGAAGACTTGGACTTCTGGCGCTTGACGGTCATCATCACTTGCTCCTGCACGCGCTGCCGGCCCGACGTGCCCGTCTTCATCTTCTGATCGGACGGCAGCGCCAGGGTGGAGTTGTCCTGGTCCTGGAAGCATTCGTACGCCAGGGCGGTCTTGAGCGGCGCGTGGTTCATGGTGGCGGGGAGCAGGCGCGCGCGGGGGGCCGGGATTGCAGCAGGTGGCGGCGGGCAGGGTCGGTGCGGCCGGCGGCGGCGGCGGGGAGCGCGTCTTCCCACTCTCAGCGGCGCCCTATGGCCATAGAGTGAGGGGTCCTCGTCGAGGGCTCGGCAGCTGCTCCCGGCGCCTCCACCCCGGCTCGTCCCTCTCCAGGCACTGGCCGGGCCCGCCCTCCGTCAGACAGGATATACCACCCCTGCCCTGCACCACCCACTCGGCCGGCCGGGCCGGGCGCGCGCCGCCGCCGCTCAGACGCGGAGCTGCAGGGCACCGCAGCGGCGGGGAGGCCGAGTGCTGGGGGGGGGGGGGGGGGGAGGGAGGGAAGAGGGGGGAGGAAGGGAAGGGGAGGGGAGGGGAAGGAGAGGGAGGGCAGGGCTGCCTGTCCCTGAGGGCTTTTGCTCCCTCTCTTCCAGCGTCTCCCCGGGAGCCGCCCCTCGGTCCTGTCCCCCCCTGGATCGTTCTGGCTCAGCCCCCTCCCCTAAAGCCAGGTGTCAGCCCTGAGAGTGGGGCGGGGGGGGGGGGGGCGGTGGCAGAAGCACACCCTCTGTCTGGCCCAGGGGCCTACCATTCCACTTCAAGGCAGACTGCAATGGGGACCAGATTGGAAATACAAAAGCACAAAGTAGCACTTCCTGGATTTTCTCCTCTATAAGATCAGTGGATCTCTGGAGCTCCATACACAGCCCTTAAAGCAAGGCCTGGTTGGCAGAGTAAGCAACTTCATGTTTTTGAATGGTTGATGTTAGCTAGTTAGCTAGTAAATTAAATCCTACCCAGAGCCTTACTGAAAATCCAGAAGTTCTCATATCCCTAAAATGATTCCTTCCCAAATTTGCTGTTTCAGGGCTGTCTTCCTACTCCTGGACACACTCACACCCATGGGGACTCAGCAGTATGCTTCATGCATGAGGAAGCCCATGCCAATGAATTTAGTGAGTGTTTTAAAAAGTATTTAAGAGAAGCCACAGGCTGGTGGCTCACACCTGTAATCCTTGCTACTCTAGAGGTGGACAGCCAAAGGATTTCAGTTCAAGTCCAGTCCAGGCAGAAAACAAAAGTTTGAGAGAGTCTAGTTTAACAACAACAACAAAAATCAGCAAAAACCAGATCCGATGGCATGGCTCAAGTAATAGAGCACCAGCCTGGTGTTGAGTTCAAATCCCAGTACCTCAAGTTCTTTTGGGGGGAGGGGGTCTTTTTAAAAGGCACCATGTCTAACCTTGCCTCTTGATGACTGGGCTTCTGGGTCTGGGACCCATCGTTGAACTGTAGCAGTGCCGTCTGGTCCATCAGCTTAGGTTTGGGGCTCTCATGGCGGTGTGATATTGTCACAGCTGTCATCTTGCTGTCAGTTGTGGCTGTCTCTTTTACCTTGCCTTTCTGACCCAGAGAGGCAAGAATAACCACAAAGCTGTGGTAAGGGGAAACTGTGTACTACAGGAGGATCAGGAAGACTGAAGGACCGGCCATCTCAGGCATCACAGAATGGTCACTCTCCCATTTCCTAAGAGGTGGGAACCCAGCTCTCCCCAAAAGACCTTGCTGGGAATCACCTGCCCAGCAGATTATTCTAAATCAAAGCATAGTTTCCTCTGGAAACCCTTCAACACTTGAGAGTTGTGCTCCTGAGAACTTAGTGACAAGTAACTCAGAGATGCAACCGAAACCATGTCACAGTTAGAGGCAGAAGTCCCACAGCGCACATCCTTTGCCATCATTTGATATCATCATGGCTTCCAGCCATGGACTGCCAGAGCCCGGCTCTACACGTCACTCACAAGAAGGAGTAGCTTGCCCACAGTGTCGTGGACAGTGTGGCCTCTATCCTAGCCAGTTGTGTTCACTCCTGGTCCAGTGTTCATTCTAGCACATGATCCAACCTCTTATAAAAGTCCTATAAAATGAGCATTAAAGTACAGTGTACACTGGTTATATAAGAGCCTAAGTGTACTATAAAGTAAACATGACAGCATATAAAAACACAACCCTATTGTATCATGCATTTGGCCTATCTGAAACCTAATATACAGCCACAAGAAACCTTAATTGCATCTTTAGATAATGATAATTTTGTTACCTTCTAGGATTTGGAAGAGCCCTGAAGGAGATAATAGAAGCAGCCCATATTCTTATTTTTAAAAAAAAGTCTAAATGGATTATCTTTAAAAGTGTTTCCAGGTATGAAGTTCAGTTTTCTAGTCGCTTGTCTATTCTTTTTGTATTGGTATTGTTTTGTGATTCTGCTGATCACTATAGGCAGCATTGGCTCTGTGCCTACGAAGTTCTATGCTTACAAATTGGGCATGATGCTGAGCTCTTTCTATGGAGCATGTCATCCTTATAATGTTTTAAATCCTTATCATGACCTACGAGGTGGGTACTAGCTCTATCACCCTTCTTTTACAGATGAAAAACAAGAGGCTCAGCAAAGTGACCCAGCTGGTAATTGGCAGAGACAAGACCAAAGGCAGGCTTTCTGGATCAAGAGCCTGAGCCCTCAGTGGAAGTGAATTCAAAACCCTTCCGCAGAAGTCAGGCTAGCTGGCTAGTGAGGCTGGCTTCCAACTGGAAGCCAGCTGTGCTACTGACTTGTTTCATGATATCCTCTTCGATGGCTATGATGCCTTTGTCCCTTACACCAACTCTCTAGAGTGATGTGATACATTTGTTGGGAACGGATATCCATTCTAGCTCCAGTCCTGTACGTCTGATGTTGTTCATGGGGTTTGTAGAGCAAGAGAATCTTGAATCAGTCTTTGTCCTCCAACTCTACCCTCTGCATCAAAGCAGTGAGGGCTCTGAAAGAGGCCACAGGGCGGGCGAAGCCACCTGCCAGCCATTGCTGGGCCCCAGCGGCAAGTCTGCTTTGCATACGTTCATTTATCTAATCCTCCCAAGAACCATGGCAAGAGGTTTTTGTTTTTGTTTTAGTTGAGGAGACACACCGAGAATGGCTAAGTCGGAAAGGCCTGACCTTTGAGCTAGGAAAAGAAGGGGAGAGGCAATCAACCCACACATGTGGGGCCAAGAGAGGGAGGAAGAGGTGTGCCTAGCCCGGAAGGACTGGTGTGGGGTTCAGGTGTATGGTTTCAAACTAGCAGAGAGCTGGAAGAAGAACCACCCTTATACTTGCCCCATTAAAGCACCCTCCCCTTCTTTATCCTTCTCCTCTGTGCCACTCTTAGGGCTTGAACTCAGGGCCTGGGCCTTGTCCTTGAACTTTTTTTACCCCTCAAGGCTAGTGTTCTATCACTTGAGCCACAGTGCCATTTCCAGCTTTTTGGTGGTTAATAAGACTCTCACAGACTTTCCTACCCGGGCTGGCTTTGAACTGCAATCCTCAGACTCCAGCCTCCTGAGTAGCTAGGATGACAGGCATGAGCTACCAGTGCTCTGCTATTTCTTTACCTCTATTTCTATTTTCCTTATTCTGCCCATCTCTCTGAACCTGCCCTCGGTTCCAGGTATTTAAACTCCCTGCAGGGCAGCCATGGGTCCAGCTCTCTATCATTAAGCCCTTTCTAGCTGAGATCCTTTGATGGACACCAGGATCTTCAGTGGCTGCCTAAGGGCTCATGATGCCCCTGGTGAACTCATGCCCCCTATCCCCAATCTCTACATGACCATTGTGTGTTTCCCCTTTTCATTCCATTTCTCTCCTAGCCTTCAACTCACTCACCTCACGCTGATGCCTGCCCCTGCCTTTGCATGAATACTATTCTTGTGTAGAGCATGCTGGGTCAGCCACTTCAGTACATAAGTACCCCAAGGGGACCAGGTACCACACCAGCCTCAGGAGAGGGTAAGATGAAGAATACCACCTCTTGCTCTCCCGTGGTTTACATTTCTAGAGGGTTGGACAAAGGGTACACTTGCAAATGAGCTAGCAAAATGACTCCAAATGATATTAGATGCCATGGAGACATCCACTGAGAGGGACGCCTGTAGCTGTGGTGGCAGAGAGCGTGACAGCAGCAGGCCAAGGCCTGAAACAGTGAGGGTGAAAAGGCCATGAGCCTGGCCTACCCTTGGCACCCAGACCAGTGACAAGTAGGCACATAAGGGGCAGTCCGGCAGCACTGCCCCGAGTAACTGTCTGTCATCCTGGAAATGTTCTGTCTGCAGCGCTGTTTAGAATCAGCCAAGATGACACACACAGTTCCTAGACAAAACAGCCACTTTTCTTTTTCTTTTTTGCAAATTCTTTATTGTGAATAAGTGGTTACATAATTTCCCAAAATTTCACAGTATTGTGGGATAATGATGCTTAGTTAAAGTCACAAACACATTCTAACTTTCATGGGGCAAATGGTCTATCACGGTCTATACCAGTTATGAGTTCTATGAGCTTTGCGATACAGTTGTTTCTTCCACACTGGGTGGTATGTACATTTCTTTTGTTTTGCATAGCATCAGCTGTTCCCTCTTTCCCACTTGTTCCCTCCCTCCCATCGCTGCCATTGAGTTGCTTAGTTCATTTTGGTCAATGTCCAGTGCAGCTGATGGTCCCACTGTTGTATGTTTTTCCCTGATTCCCTCTAGTTCTGTGTCGTCCTCCTGGTTTCCATCCAGTGTGCACATATATACCATACATGTGATCATCAGCATGGGGTTATTTAGTAGTGATTTGACCAGATGAGTGGAAGTCCTTTGTTTCTTAAGTCTTGTTAATTTTGTCGTATCACCTTACATTTTGGATTTAACATCCACTTATCAGGGAGACCATGTGCCATTTGTCTCTTTGCTCTTGGCTTACCTCGCTCAACATGATTTCTTCTAGCTCCATCCATTTCCCTGCACACGCCATTATTTTGTCCTTTCTAATGGCAAAACAGCCACTTTTCAAAAGCTTGCTTGCCATGCGGGTTACAATAGTTTCTGTAGCATCATGTGAACTTTCTGCCTAAGAGTGACAAGAAGCCATTAGAAAGCCATAATAAAGGGGGTGGCAAGACCCCCCTTCTTTTTTGCTACTTTTGATCCTGTTATCTCTGCAGATGACCCCTAAGTCAGATTCAGTACCCCTCCTTTGACCCTTTGTTCCTGGTGCCTCGCTGTGTGACAGCCCTTGTTCCGTTTCATTCTATCCACGGGCCCCCATGCCTGGAGCAGCTTGAAGGGAGGGATGTGTGCTGTCCGTTGCTGCTTCCTCCTGGTCCATATGACAAGTAAACACTGGGTGCTCAATAAGCACTTGTTTGGATGAGCCCAATCTGAGTCTCTGCCATCTTTCTCGGGAGCAAGACCTGGTACGGATCTTTCTCAGGATTCTTCAGGCGACTGGGCTCCAGGCATCCTGGCCAAGCCTTGGCTCTAAAGGCCAGTGTCTCAGGCTCCCCTTCTCCTGCGTGTTCAGCTGCCCTTGGAAACGTGTAAGGCCCCCAGCCCACCTCTATAGGCATCCATGTGAATGGAGGGAACGTCTTTCTCAGTTCCCAAGGGAAATTTTTATCAGGAAGCCACCATTTGTTCAACACTCTGCCTTGTCCTGGACACCCCAGGAACCATCCCTCCCCCTGCCAGGAAGTCATTTTACAAGAATCCCAATTTAATAGAAAGTCCCATAGAAACTCCATGGTAACTCCTTCACAACCCTGGATCCTCGCTGCCCTCAGTGTAGCAGGCCAGGAATGGACCAGATTCTGTCTTACTTCTGGTATGACCATTGGCATCAGGCTGCAGGGCCACAGGGGCTGGAAGGCATGGTGGGGGGCAGTGCCCAGAGGCTCTCACCTTGGGCAGGGAGGAAGGGAAGAGCTGAGGCCACATTCCCAGCCCTGCAGCAAGCATCTCAACTGGAGGACTTGGTCATGTAACCCCAGCTTCCCTATGCAGGAGGACAGGGGCTGGAAGACCGGCCTGTGTCCATGCAAATGGACGTACCATCCAGCTGCTCTGGAAGGCACTGAAGGGCAGGGCTGGCAGAAGGACGGGACAGGGAGCAAGGGCCTAGGCAAGAAGCCCAGAAAGGAGAGCCTGGATGAGTCTAGGGCGTGCTGGGCTAGCCAGCTGAGGGGTGAGGCCAAGGTGTGCATCCAGAGCGCCTCGGCCAACGGCCAGGGTAGTCTGGGAGCTGCCCTTCTGGTCTCTCGGGGTGCGGTGGGTGGAGCAGCAGACGGCAGGGAGGGGCCATGATGAAGAGAAGCAGTGACCCAGCCCCGTGCTGACAGGCTGCTGTCAGCACCCAGCTTGTGCTGCACCCTGCCCCTCTGCCAACCCAAATTCTAGCTCTGTCCTTTGACATGTCCTCCTGGAGTTTTGCCTTTCCTTTTACCCTCCCTCCTCCAGCTGGTGGTGCTGCTTTGAAATCCTCAGAGCCTGTGGCCCACCAGCTGTCTCTGGGACCAAAAGCCATCTCAGTGCAGACTCCAGACTGGGCCCAAGGAGGATCCTAGGGAAATAAGAAATAGGACTATGGTGTGGATTGACGAAGCTGGGCCCCTCTTGCTGCCCCCCCCCACCCCCACCCCAGCGCCCCACATTGCCTCCTCTAGCTGTATGACTTTGAACAGCCACTTACCCTCTCTGAACTTCACTTTCCTCATTTGTAACAGTAAGTTAGTTACACCTACTTTCCAGGTTCTTGTGACCAGCAATGGATGTTACATATAAAATGTGCCCGATACACTGTAGGTCCTTAAGAAGAAACAGAACTTCTCCTGCCTCCTGCCTAACTGCTCAGTCTTGCACACTCTAAGCCAATCATGCAGAGCCACATTCCCAGCTCAGGCCCTTGATTCCTGGCCTCACAGTCCTCCACTGTCTGCTCTCCCTGGCATTGGGCCCATGTTCCTTCATGTTCCTCCATGTTCCTTGTGGCTTCTCTCCTCCTGCCCACACCTCTCCTCTCCGCCCTACCTTGAATGTGTGGTTCCAACTGTTCTCTGCCACTAGTGTCTGTGGACACAGCAGGGGTGAATATTTAGAGATTCCCCTAGTTTAGTCTCTCCGCTCATCAGAATTGACAAGCAAGTTCTAGGAGGTCTGGAGGTGTGGGCTTGCAAATGTTTGGGTCTTTGGGTCTTGCCTTCCCCTTTGTAGGGGTACAAGTTGCCTCCTGTCTGTTCAGTAGGCGGTGGAGTAGGGGGCTGGGTGATGGAGCTTCAGGCTTCAAAGAGAAACCAAGGTGGCAGAGCAGGAACCTAAGCTTCACGGGGTCCCTTGCTGGCATTGCTCTGCTGCTCTGGGCTGGGAGAATCGCTGGTGTTCAGGAGGTGGAGTCGCTGCCCAGAGAAAGGCCGTGGGAGCTACAAGGCTGGCCAGGAGCTTGGGGTGTGTGCCCAGAGCTGAGCAGGTCCCTGCATTCTGTATCTCACCGTCTCCTGCCCTGCCCAGCCTCCTGGTGGTGTGATGAGTCACCGCCCTTGCCTGCAGGCAGGGCCGCCACACCCAGGGCAGCTGGCACTCCCCACAGCCTCTGCGTGGAGCTGCTGGGCAGGCAGCCTGCCAGAACATGGATGGGCACTGCCAAGAGGCTCCACGCCTTGAGCCAGGCCAAGAACCTGCTGAGTGTTAGAGGCTCCTGTCTGCACTGCCCCATGGCCCAGCCAGGTGGCTTCTTCATAAGATCACCAGTATCAAGGAATGGCACCTATGAGAGCTGAATGCAATCAGGCCTGGGCTGCAGGCTGCTCCCAAAGGGTCTGGAGTCTGCCCTGGGCCTAAGCAGGTAGCCACTACCAGTCATGCATGTTTGTCACTGCTGCTTCTGCACGGTGGCTCATCGGATCCTACCACAACTCTTGTCCTCAGCCCAACCCTGTTTCTCCCCTCCCCCTCAGCCCCCAGATGTGCTTGGTGAGAAGTAGCTCCTCCCTCTCCCGACTCTTAGCGTATGGGCACTTCTCTCGTGCTCCTTGGCACATCATGCTGTCCTGCTGTGCACCGTAAGCATTCTGCATCACCAGCACACCTACGACCGCACTCTGAACATTGACATGGCCCAATAAACGTCTATCTGGTCAACCTACATTCCATTCATGTGTTCTGTTACAACATCCCTGTGCCCAGATGCCACATGGTGAAGAACACCCACCATGCCCAGCCTTCAATGTCTTCTAGATGGGGCCTGGACCTGGGCTCATGTTAACAGAAACCCCTCAATTCTCTGACACCCCATTCATCCAGTCATCTCCACTGTCAGGCGGTTACTCGGCAAAGCTGGGCACAGCTGGGCACAGCTGGAGAGGCCCCTCTCACTCCTTTCCTAATTGGCATCTGAACATGCTTGGCACCTACTGATCCTGATCTTTTTTTTTTTTTGTCAGTCATAGGGCTTGAACTCTGGGCCTGGGTGCTGTTCCTCAGCTCTTCAGCTCAAGGCAAGCGCTCTAACACTTGAGCCATAGTAACACTTCCGATTTTCTGGTGGTTAACTGGAGATAAGAGTCTCACAGACTTTGCTGCCAGGGTTGGCTTGGAACAATGTTCCTCAGATCTCAGCCTCCTGAGTAGCTAGGATGACAGGCGTGAGCCACTGTCACCCAGCTCTGATCCTGGCCTTGACTGTCAGACATCAAGCATTTAGGAGACTCCCTGCCCCAAGGAAGACCTTAGGCAGTCTTTATCATAGAAGATTCTGTCTTCCACCCTACAGTTTTAGAAGCTGGTCAGTCAATCAGTGATTACTGGGTTGAGTTGGCAAGATGAGTCATTTTGGAATTCTTCTAGTGTCCCCCAGATGATAGCTTAAGCCAAGTGTACTAGCTCCACAGCTCTTAGCTCTAGGGCTCAGGCTGGAGCTAAGGAAGGGGCTAGAGATGGTGAGTGAAGTAATGGGATCTTTAAGGATCTAGGGAACACTGGACACCACAGAAATTGGAAAGGTGAGTTTGCAATTCAGGGTAAAGGGCTTTTAAGAAATACTGCAGAGGGAATTCATTTGATAACTCTGAAAAAGAGTGAATACATTTCGAATAACCATTGGTTTCATAATTTTGCCTCTGTTTCTTTTCCTTTCTACACCATATCACGGTAACACTTGCCATCGATGGGAACTAGTACTCCACTTAGTGATTTCCTGACCTACACAGCTGGGGATCTGCCCTTCAATCCCTCCAGAATTGCGACTGCCCCTTCCCCTCTGTTATCTTACCCCATTGTAAGGACGAGGGGACTGAGACTCACAGAGACCATATGGCTATGGTTAGGGGCAGAGCTGGGCTTCAAAGGAAGCTCTTTGTGCCACACCCTACATGTAATAAGACATTGCTGGGGAGCAGAGAACTGTCCAAGTGCACACCTTTCAGTGGATGCTTTGGTGGGCTGAATGGTTTCACCTCTCCAAAAGGAAAAGTGTTCATATCCTACCCCTTTAGGACCCATGACTGTGATGTGTTTTAGAAAAGGATCTTATGATACAATTAATCTGAAGATCTTGAGCTAAGGTCAGGTGTTTTTCTAAGTGAACACACAGGGAAAGTCTGAGATGCAGAGCCAGAGGCAGGGATAGGACTTACATTAGCACATGAAAAACAGTACCTGGGCCACCAGCGGCTGGAGAAAGGGTGAAGAGAGCCTCTAAAAGGGTGAACCTGGCCAGCACCTTGATTTGGGATTATGGTTCCCAGAACTATGAAAGAACAGTTTCCTATTGGGTTTTGTTTGTTTTTATGCCAGCACTGAGGCTCAAACTCAGGGCCTCTTGCTCTTCCTTGGCTTTTTTGCTCAAGTCTGACGCTCTATCACTTGAGTTGTACCTTCAGCTTTTTGGTGGTTAATAGGAGATAAGAGTCCCAGAGACTTATTTTCTGTCTGGGGCTAGCTTTGAAGTGGGATTCTCAAATTTCAGCCTCCCAAGTAACTAAGTGTATAGGCATGAGCCACTAGGTCCTTGTACGTTTCTAGTGTATTAAGACACCAGGTTTATGGCAATTTCTCCAGCAGCTGTAGGAAACCAATACTGACACTAACTCTGAAACTCTCCCAGCCAGGCTGTGTGAGCTGTCAGCTTGCCCCAGCAAACCCACTTGGCATGTAGCTCAGGGGGTGTGAGACTCATAGAGGTGGGGGTGGGAGATACTGGAATGACATAGTCCCTCAGCAATGACACAAAGCAAGGACCAGCTGGCTCCTGTCTAGCCCTGGACAGCCAGCCTCTCACCCCTCTGCCCTTCCCCTGTGACACCTACCTTTGTTTTTATGCTTGGTTTCACCATACACCAAAGAAGAATGATGCTTCAGTGGGCCTGAGCAGAGGGAAGCGGCTATAGCGACATCACCATCCATCAGGAGGAATTTATGAAGCCAGTTACACCTGTGCCAGGAAGTGGGCGGGGCTCAGCCTCTAGTAACTGCCAGTCTTTCAGCCTGGTGGCCCATCATTTTCCTACTTAATAGGATGTCTTCAGGCAGTTAAAGGTAACACAATTAAACACAACAAGAAAATATAATAGTACTTTGTCTTTCAAAGCCCTTCCTTTCATTCCGAGAGCTCAGGCAGCTTTATGGCCCTTGGGAAGCTTCCTCTTACTCCTTAGATGGATGAACTGAGATCCTGAACAGGAAGAGAGCCAGAACAGAGGCTGGCCAAAGTATCAGGTAAGGCTGCCAGGCAAGAGTTTGGTTCCGATGGTATTTTGTGGATCTGAAAGATCACCAGACTTTAATTGGAAGCTTTTAAATTATATCCTTCAGGATTTTCTGCATTTTCTTGGAGGTGGTCAGAAGAGATGGCCTGCCCAGCTTGGTGGACATAAAAGGTTGGTAGGGCCCTATCTCAGATAGTACTCTATCTGAGGGAGATAGAGTACTACATGGTGGTCCTAGCTACTCAGGAGGCTGAGATCTGAGGATTATGATTTGAAGCCTGATGAGACTCTTATTTCCAATTAACCAGCAAAAATGCTGGAAGTAGAGGTGTGACTCAAGTGAAAGAGCACCAGCTCTGAGCAAAAAAGCCCAGCAAGAACACAAGGCTCTGAGTGCAAGCTCTAGTAGTGGGGCACACA